ATACTGACCTGAGACATGATGTGGGGACAAACCAAAACATGGGTTTGGCAGGATCATGTATTACAGACTTGATGTCCTGTTGCTCAGGAAATACTCTAGATTCATGAAAGCCGCCTGTTGGATCTACGATTTGGCCCTTATCTGTGGAAGAGAAAAAAAAAAAGACTGTTAAGTATGGGGAGGAAATACTCTGGCCAGTGCTTGAGAGAACTGCTCTTTAAATTGAGCACTTGATTCTAAAATCATGAGTATTTAGCAGAATTATATCCAGACAGCTTTATGTTCTTTATTCCTTCTCTATGAGTGAATTGAAAATAAGGTATTGACAAACTGTGGAAATAATAATGAAGCATATTTTAAGGTTTTTGGGGGAGGGTGGGCGGCAGAGAGAGGGAAGGATCTCTGGTTTGTCATCTTGAAAAAAACGGGTCAAAACACAAGGGGCAGATCTATGTGTCTCATTTCTCTAAATCCTAGGCTTTCTAGAAGGCTTATGAAATTTGTTTTATATTCCAACTTGGCTATTTTAAGTGAGAAACAGTGAAGAAAAAATGCTTATTTATAATATTGCTCAAAAACCTCACTTTCTGGTTCATGATATCTTATGTACATTTTGTTATACTGTGAATACACTTTTTAAACTTCAGTTTACCTGGAATGTGTGGAGAACTGGCCTTTAACTTGTTCTAATGCAGTATGGTGTTATGTTCAGAGCTAAAATTTAAAGCTTCTGTAAAACACATATACATGCTTGGCACAAAGTACGTGTCCAATAAACATTACCTATCTGCAACAATTCCTATTCTAGCACATATCTCATGTATGTTAGCATGCAAAGTGATAACAGGGCTTGAGAACGCGCCCTCCCTCCCCAGTCCTCTCCTACGCTACACACGCAGGGAAAGGAACAAACGGAGAAATCGGGACCAAATGCTGCACCAGTCGGAGTTCAGTCCTCAGTGCTGTGGACATGCAGGAAGAGCAGAAGGCAGTTTTCAAATACGAAACAGTAACTCGCCAAATGGAAAAAAAAATCACATCGGGCTTTGGTATAGGGAAAGAGGGGGACTGTAGCAATCACAGAGGCATCGCACTGCAATGAAGAGTTCAAGGTGAAATGAGATCATCAGTAAGGTCAATACAGGGTGCTAGGGACATGCAGCCTGAAGATGGCTAGTGACAGGTGCCTGACACATGATCAGTGCCTAACAAAGAATGCCAGTGACCGCTCAGACTCTGTTAGCTCCTCCGGAGTGCTCTAGGACAGTGGAGGATGTGGCAACGGAAGATGGTCTAAATGCAGAGAGATAATTCACTGCGTTCATGTAAGAAACGTGTTTCCACTCCAGAGGGACAGGTAAAACCAAGTTAGTGCCAGACCCTGAAGGTGCCACACCAATGGCAAGCATCTGGAGAGGGCTGAGGGTCCTTTCCCTCTTGGAAGAGGGATTCACTCAAATCCAACACCTGGTACCAAAAGACACCTGGAACTTATTTAGCCATGAGTGTCTTCTTGTTTCTTGCTTTTAGTACTTTTTTCTTTCTGATTCTCATATCTTTTCATGAGGCAGCCTTCTAAACTTACAGAGTAACAATAGATATAATAGTTCTGCCAGGAGAAGCTGTCCACACCTCACCTGAGTCCCATCCAATCTCTTGCTCTGCCTCCTTCTGACTTTCCATTCCGCCCTTATTTTGACCAGCATAGGGTAGACAATACCCCAGATTCACTCCCTTCAAATCGAGATGTCACTGACTGCTTGGCATCTTTAGCAGGCCAAGACTATTGATGCAGATAAGCTCATGAGATGACTCCTGGGCATAATGATTGGGTTTTTATAGGGACTTCAGTGGACAATGCTTTCCCCATGGTAGATGTTAGACATATTGGGACATTTATTTCAGTTACTGTGCTTTAAATTTCAAAATGTAGTTGTTTACCTACTCTACCCATATGTACCCATGTGCATGTAGGACTATGGCCACAGCCACAGAGAAACGCTTCATGTCTCAAGTATAGGCTTTATGTCTGAACTTCTTTATCCTGAAGTCCAAAACTGATACTCCAAACTTGTTCTGGACATTAATCTCTTTGGGGCATTTAATGGCCAGTCTCTTCGATGCTGCGATGTGGAATGACTTGCCCACCTGCCCGCCCTGCATCACCCCTAACTGACCTCTCCAGTCCAGGGACACCACTTGCCACCACTCCTTAGACATGAGTGTCCTTTCACAAGGTATTCTGTGCCTTAGCCATGCTACTCTCTATGCCAAAAGCAGACTTTGCTCTCTTGTTTTCTGGAAAATTGCTATTTCTTCTCTAGATTTAAACTAATGTGTCCTCCTCTTTATATGCTTGTCTCGCTCAGTCATAAGTCGCCCTGTCACTTGGGCTCCTACTGTTTTTGTTCATAGCTTGATTACATTATTTATAAAATCACATTGCCAGTGTCTATTTATATGAATGTCTACCTTGCTACCCTATGTGCTCCTAGTGGGGAGGGACTATATTTTATTCAGTTTTGTATCCTTAGCACATGTGTTGGATAAATTACTAAAAATAAATCATTAAAAAATATAAAGTAGTCTTCATTATAAGAAACAATTGTTTGGACACATGGGATAAGGTACAATCCAGGGCATGAGAAAGAAAAGAATAATTCTGTTATGAATATCCTTGCTTAAAAAGTTACAGTACATTAAAAACTGTGAAACTTTAGAAACATTTCATTTTTTTTAAAAACTGCCTTTACTACAAATAACTATGTGTCTTTTAATAAGACACCCAATCTCTTAAAGATGATTATCAGTTACTGAGCAATCAGAATTTCAAAATTATATTCAACCCACAAGTTGAGAGGTGCCTAAGTAGGTGGAATCTGTTGAGTTTTGAATAAAGTTGGCATTTCCTTATTTTGTGACATTAAGGTGCTGAAATATGCTGTCAGGCATTGACATGTTTGCTGAGGGTAACTGGCTTGGTAGGATAGAAACTCCACTTTATGATTACATTTTTATTACTAAACACAGATCTATATCTAAGACAGTTTATTGCTTGGAGTCATTAGTCATATGCTGCTACTGTGCATGAGTATAGTAGACTTATTCAATTTAACAGTGGAGCTTGGCTTGAAAATCCATTTGGTAAACCCTCTAGACTATGTCCACAATCCCAAGGTGATGAGCGAACACATTAAAAGAGTTAGTTAAGCCAGATGTTGTGAACTGTAGAATTAAAAAGCCACTTAAATATGGTACAATTTTTCAGTTTTAAGTGCACAGTATATATTCACATATATTAACTATAACATACAATATACTTTATATCCAAGTAAAAAGTATTACTTTGCTATTCCGTATATTTTCAATTTATTAATCCTATGTTCTCTAATATTGTGCAAAGATTTTTAAACCAATTACAATAATTTAGGTCAAACCTGTAAATTTTGTGTAATTCTTTTGACTGAAAGAGCATTTCAGTCACCTTGAATTTAATTAACGAAAACACTCTCAAGAATAAAAAGTTTGAAACTAAAATAATGTCTCCTCCTTATCCTAACACCTGAACAAAGCAAAAAGTAAAATGACTGTTTAATCACATTTGCAGTTTATGACAACGGGATTGTTTAAATTCTTAGTGGACTTGTACGGACAGCATAAAGATTTCTTAAGTCCTTAGCATCACTAACAAGTGCCTGTAATCATTTCTACAAGGTGACTTTTGAAGTAGTTCATCAAGGAAGACTACGCTCTGGTTCTTGAAATGAGTTGTAATAAAAAAAATACATTCCTCTTTCTCTGGTGTGATCATTGCACCGTTTTCTGTTTGAACATTCAATTAGATCGTGTAGTCTTTGAACTTTGACATTAGAATATTGACATCAGAATTGTTCAGAACGTTGGAATAAACAGTTTTCAATCCAGATTATTTTCCTTCAAGCAACAAAAAGTACTTCAGCAAAGAAAGACAAGTTCACTCAAATAGTTTCTAATACAGAATTTCTCCTTCCTGTCTCTTTAATATGGAAAGAAATACTATGTTGACCAAGGTTATTTGTAGTGAAAAAAAAAAAAAAAAAAAGAAATCCCTTCTCTTATGCCAAGATTGAGTTGTAACCACCAATTAGAGGCCAAATACATGGAGCACTCCTCCGGGTCTGTTAATGCCTCTTGACCACTATTCACTGCAACAGATTGTAATAATTAGTGCTGTAAGCATAAATACGAAAATGAGGGGGTTGCACTAGGTGATCTCTGAGGTCCCTTTCAGCATTAGAATTTTAGAAGTTGGTGAGCCTGAAATTGTTAATGTGCTTCTGAATGTACCAAATTTATGCCTAGGGACAATTTATTCATTTGAAAGATGGGTCCTTTTTGTCAATTTGGCTCAGAACTGAAATGAAAAGTAAATGCTGGTTAAACACTAATAATAATATGTGCTTCTACAGCATTTTACCTTTTACAAAGAGCTGATATATGCATTTCATTGAGTTTATTCATAATAACATTGTAAAGAAGTTCTATGACCAGGATTTTCTCACACCTTTGGCAAATTTGTGGAAAATTATTGTACCATCCTTGGTGTTTTTATTTTGTCAAAGATGCTAAGGACTTGCCAATAGGGAGCAGAGAACAGGGACCTAAAGTCAGACGAGTCTGGAAGCCCCCAAAGGGCAAGTACCATTTAGACTTTATTTACCACTGTATCCTTAACATCTGCACCAGGGCCTCATTATGGTTATGCTCCACTGAAGGCAGTGGTAAGTACTACGTCAGGCAACTGTAAGCACCATGAAGAAAAACAAAGATTTGGAGGGAAGCAGTGGCAGGGTATTAGGTAGATAAGGCACCCTTGATAAAGTGCCATTTGGGAGAGTAGAGTCAGAAGTGACTACTGTTTCAGATGACACTGTTTCAGCTGGAAAAGGATGACGCAGGGAAAAGATAAACCAAGGACCCTGAGGTGAGAGTGGGTTCAGCATGTATGAAGGACTCTTGTAGCTGGAGTGGAAAGAGAGAGGCAAAGAGCCTGAGAGAGGAAAGCCCAGAGAGAGTGGTTGGGAGGGCAGACACTTTATTTAGGACATTGATTAGGCAACACAGAGTAGTTAAATCTGCTTTCACATTTAACTATGAAGAAG